AAGGCATGAACATTTTTTTGTATCGAAAAAATATCGAACCGTGACACCAAAGTATCGAACCGAACCGAACCGTGAATTTTGTGTATCGTTGCACCCCTAGGAGTCAGCATGCATGGGGGCTGAATTTTATATACCTGAATTCAGCGATTTTGATTGTAAATTGGTAAAAGCTGATCCCAAAACTCAATGAAGGCTGATCGTTGCTCCAGTTTGTGTTACGTAACCACAGAAGTGCAAAAGGCAGTTTAACCAGCTTGAGCCCCACCCCCGCTCAAATCAGTCTGAGCCAGAAATTGTTCTCTTCTGGACACAAAACAAGCAGTTGCTCTGGTAACATGACCCCACAGTCACCAACTACATGGGAATAAGCAAACAAAACCAGCTCTCAGAAGAATAACTGAGAATCACAAAGTGTTTTATATAAAACTCTTTAATTAAATTAGCTTATTTAAGAACACATAAATATTGGTTATAATAGAAAAGTACATGAAACAAGAATGCTACAATTTGGAATAAAACATCACAGTCTGCTATAGTAGTGGTCATCTTAATAATAATAATGTTGATGAATGCAGAAACCTATTTAAACAACAGAAATGCAAAACGACTCTCCTCCTCTCTGACGTCCCTCTAAAAACACAAATTAACATCCATCATTAGCACCTTCTCTCTATAAAGCCTCCTTCAGTGTCTATGTTTCATGACCTTTGATGACCTGTTAGTAATAGTGATGTTGTCCTGAATAAAATTTAATTTCCTGTAACAGAGCAGATAATTCAGGGACACAGGTTTCATTTCATCACGGCTTTTCAGTGGTCTTTGGTCGCTTGGTAAAAAGTGTGATGTGAACCAATCAGGGCTCAGTGACATTTAAATTTAAATGTGACGACAGCTGGGAGGCCGTTTGTTTTTGCTGCCCGCACCACCCCTTGAACCCATCGAGCAAAACCGAGCAAATGATGCAAAAAAAGAAGTGAAATTTTGCAGGAACTGTGCATGTTGGTGAGTGTAAATGACCAACTAACTCACCGTTAAATGAGTGTTTTAACCTGAGGCGGTGTCATGTATGTGGTAGGTTTATGGATCTCCATAAAGAAGGATCTTCCTGCATGGCCAGTGTCTGATTGACAAACTTCAGCATGCCTGTCAGTGAACTCATATCAGCCTGTTCCTCCTGACCCACCAGAGTGCTCACAGACTCCCTCCTCGAATCACTGAGCAGCTTGCCTTCATCCCTCTCCATCACGATGCCTTCCACATCTGGATTTCTGTCACTTTCTCTGTCCACCATGTAAGTAAGCGGGTTGAAGGAGTTATCAGAGATTACTGTGGCATCTGAGGCACTGAGGCCCTGCCAGCTGTGGTCCACTGTGTCTGGTAAAGAGGAAACTGAGTGTGACAAAGACTCCCATGGTTGCTTACTCAAAGCCTCTCTCAGTGTGGCTTTTACGCTCTCAGGGAGGTCCAAGGAGGAGTCAATACTGCTGCTCTGCAGCCAGTCACACGTTTGTCGGCTCTCCGAGAGATGAAGAGCCGAGGTGGGTTTAAGGTTTGAGCGAGCAGAGGGTGATAAACACGTCTGCGCATGTGTTGGGGAGCTTAGGTGTGTGGAATGGGCATGAGGAGGAGAGCTGATAGTCGTCTGAAGCTTTTTGGGGGAGGATGCAGGGGAAGGAGCAGAGAGGCAGAGCTGGGGAGAGTCTGTGACTTTGTGCAGAGAAGAGAGAGAGGTGCTGTGATTGTACAGATGTTGTCGGTCTGCAGCTCGTCCCAAACTGGAGATCCTGGCCTGGAGACGAGCCACCTCAGACTCCTGCCAGAACAGGGGAACATTAGCTTAAAAAACAAACGATCATAAAGAACTTACAACATGCAACTTTCATTATGCTGACTAAAGAAAGCTCTACCTTGATGAGGAGGGAATCACTGGAGGTCTCCACGGACTTCTCGGAGGCATGGAGCTGACTCTGGAGCTGGGCAGCCTCGACTCTGGTTTGATTTAGCACAGCAGTGAGATGCTCCAGCTGTGCCTGCAGACGACTGTTCTGGGCTCTAGTTTGCTCGTAAAGAGTCCTGCTCTGTTCCAGCTGAGTCTGGCTCTGAAGGTGCTGTGTCTGGCTCTGGTCTAACTGTGATTGGAGGTGAGTAGCTCGCTTCCAGGCGTGCTCAAGCTCCGTCTTAGTTTGGTCCAGCTGGGCTTTGGTCTGATCAAAGCGGACGCTGACTTCTTCGAGCTGGGTCTGGCTCTGCTGAAGTTTAACAGTGAGCTGTTCCTGGGAGGAGCGCATTGTGGAGGAGATCTGCTCCGAGACTTTGAGGAGCTGGCCTCGAGTCTCCTGAAGAGACTCCAGCTGGGAACAGAGGGAAAACAGACGCGTGAGAAAAGTGCTGCTTTTTTTTTTTTCCCCAATGACAGAAAGTTTAAAATAAATTAGTTAAATGGAACCTGATATATGAAATATAAATATGAGCATTATTGTTTGACTGCTTCATGATGTGGTTTTGATGTGTTCTAATAAACTCACACTAAACGTTGCAAAAAGACAAAGAAGCAAAACCAACATGTTCTCAGCTGTGCGTAACAGAGATGAAGTAACATGAGAAAAGATACTATAAAATAAGGAAATCATATGGCGTCACTGACGTGTAAAAGTCAAATATAAATAAAAAAGAGGAAAACAAATCAGACTGAAACAGGAACAATATTTAGGACTACAGAACATGAAAAACCACAAAGGCTTAAACACATACTGACTCACGGACAGGAAGCTGACAGAAATAGTGCTGACCAAGAAGTTTGGGCTCTATTAGGATAAATCCACAATAAGTGTCGGAAATTTACTTCTCAACTCTCTGGAAAACTGAAGAGGTAGATAAAATCCAAATGTCACACAGATTATTTTAGAGGCCAAAATAATAGATTGGGCTTCGTGTCACATAAATTAAATTAAGTACATTTCATGGAATTCAAGATTTATTATTTAAGTTATTAGTTTTTTTTATCTTTGGTGCAAACACATCAGGTGCACCATCAAGTGTTGTGGACCCTGAGTTAAATTAAAATCAGCAGATCTAAGGCTAACTCTACACGGCACACAACGTTGAGGTTTCCCATTAAAACAGTCTACTACAGTTAGTTTACTGTTAACAGAGCAGTCTGTCACCAGTCTTGAGACAACAGTATCTCTTTGCTATGCTGCTCCCTCTCCAGCTCCAGCTCCTGCTCTAAGCCGGTGACCATGCCCTGAAGCCTGGCCTCCGACTGCAGCCAGCGCGCCTCCTTCAGAGTCAGCTCCTCCTCTATGGCACACAGCTGGGCCTCCTGCACACACCCCACAGCCAAATTAATAATAGAAACAGATGTACAACATGAAGAAGAGGGTTTTTCCTGCATAAATATAATTTGGTCTGCCACCGAAGGAAAATCAGTGGCCTTTAATTCAGTCACTCATGAACTCCAGCATACTTTATAAATAGCAAGAAAGAAGAGGAAAACAAGTAGACCTCTGTTAAGTATGGTATATTGATTTTAACAGAAGTTAAGGCAGGAGGCCTTAAGACCCCTGTTGTTTAATGCAAACCAATCATGCTTCATTCCCTAAAGGCCGATTCTGCACCAGGAGAAATCCTGTAATGTCATTAATTGCTTAATGAATGTCACTGATGCTTCCTGCTGATAGCAGTGAACACACCGAGCATGAGCATCAAGATTGCTCAGTGGCAGACCAGCGAGCTGCTCTCAGGTCTCACTAAGTGACAGCTTGAACACCCCCACCCAGGATTACCTTACACAGGGACATGCAGGCAGAGCTAATGGATCTAATATGATCAAGAAACAAACAGTGTTTTGACGATACCGTCTCTTTGGTCTGCAGCTTGGAGGCATCCAGCTCTCTGCTCAGACCCTCACAGTGACCTTGAGTTTCTTCAAGCTCTTTGAGAACTTTCTGAAGTTTCTGCTGACATGCAAACAGCTCCTGAGACTCCTGACAACACAAACACACACATATGCAAAAAGACAAAGTTGTGGTCAAAAGTTTACATGCACTCATCATTGGCATGAATGTCGAATGACTGTACAGGGCTCTGGACTAACTTTTTGCCACGGTTGCACTGGTGCGCACCAGCACAAAACTTAAGTGCACCCAAATTTTTCAACCACATTGCTTAACAGCTGTACAGCAGACATTCTTTAATAACTTTAAAAATAAAAAGTAAGCACACAAGTTTGAATTTTTTGTGGATTTTCTTTGATCCAAATTAGGTCAAAAGTATAAATACAGACTCAAATATATACTTTCATCCCCATTATTATTTGGTTAAATGCCCCCATGTTGCACTTTGACCAGACTCTCTTGGCAGTAACCAGCAAGCTTCTGGCATAATACTGGGTGAATATTTAACAACGCTTTTGGGCAAAATTGGCAGAGTTCATTGAAATTGAGGTTGGTTTCTTGGCACTGATCCAGCCTTTAAATATTGTCCACAACCTTTTCTAACAGGTTTTAGTTTGGGGGATGGGGAAGGCAAGCTCAATGCTAGCCCACTTTATCCATTTCAAAACCAGTTTTGATCTCAGTTTGGTGTAATTGTCCTGTTGAGACATCCTGTTTTGTCCAAGTTTCATCTGTCTAGCTGCTGATTTGAGGTTAAGTTGAAGAACTTAGAGGTAGTCCTCCTTCTTCATTATTTCATTCACTTTGAGCAATGAACCAGTACCACAGGTGGAAAACAG